ATCAATCACCTGATCAGAGATGATGTCATCAATCAATCACCTGATCAGAGATGATGTCATCAATCAATCACCTGATCAGAGATGCCACATTATAAAATTTAAATAAATAATGTTTTTGTTTCTAAAGTCGATGTAAAAAGTAAAATCTCAAATGTTTTTAATCAGGACACAATTAAAATATTTTGTTTTATTGCAAATTTAAAAATGTTTTTAACAAAATTTACAACAAAATCTTTTCTGGATGTTTAGTCGACCTGGGTTGAGGTGTTGTGTTGAAACCTGTTACCTGCAGAGTCTGAGTCCATCTGTAAAATGTACAAATAATAAATAAAAATTAAAATCAGGTTCATAACGAGTCAGATTTATTCATTTGATAAAAATGTGATTTTTTTTTCAACTAACAACATTTAATCCACCAGGAAGTGTTTCACTGTTTATTTATCATTTAATCATTTTAAAAAATTGTATCAGCAGCTGAATCTTTCACTGAACTGTCCGAGGGGCCCTGAACGCATCATAGAATCAGATTATCCGAGGCGCCCTGAACGCATCGCGGTGTTTGACAGCTGATCAGTCCAACATGGCGGCTGTTAGCTGAAGCAGCCGGAGCTCCTGCGGGTTTTATTGTCTTTGTCAGCCGTCAGGAGGAGCCCTGCTCCGGGCAGGAGACTCTGGAGGCCTCGGTGAGCGGAGCAGCGACAGCTTGTTTCCTCCCGGTAGATTCCCGGTTGTTTCCCGGTATGTCTGCGGCGGACTGACACAACAACWACAGGCGGGCTGAAGGCGGGCTGTCTGCGGGCTTTCCTCACCTGTTCCCCGGTATGACTCACAGGTAGGAGACGTGGCTCCACACCTCACCTGGCTGACCTTTGAGCTGCTCAGGTGTCAGGTTACCTTTAGTTTCTGCAGCTGCTGGAGGAAACTCCTGACTTCAACAAACAGCTGATTATTTTACAAACTAAACAATCTGCAGCAGAGCTGAAAGGGAATTGATGACGTCATAAWAATAATTTGACTCCACCCACTCAGATTATCACCTGTTCATTCAAATGAAGAACAAATATACAAATAAATCAAATAAAGAGAACATTTAAATAATGAGCCAAAACATTATGACCACCAGTCGATCCCTTTTTACAACCTAAACCTCCTGACCCTGTCCCCCTGTCCCTGACCCTGTCCCCCTGTCCCTGACCCTGTCCCCCTGTCCCCCTGACCCTGTCCCTCTGACCCTGTCCCTGTCCCTCTGACCCTGTCCCTCTGACCCTGTCCCTGTCCCTCTGACCCTGTCCCTGTACCCCGTCCCTGTCCCCCTGGACTCCTGGAGACATTTAAAGCAGAATAATTTGAGTTAATATTTGAGTATTATATGCAGATTATCCTGATGCATCTCAGTAATCCAGGTAAAAATCAAAAAGAAAAAAATAGTATAGGTCTTCTGGGCGGGTTCTTCTCTAATGAAACGTTTCGTCTCTCCTCCAAGAGACTTCTTCAGTCTGAGAGTTTCAGGCTAAATTCAGGCTTTTAAGCCCTGCCTCCATGTGACTGATACTCACATCACATGGCTATCGTTGACACCTAATTAACACCTATTGTTAACAGGGGGTGGAGTGGAAAGATCCGGTGCCCCGGCACAAACAGAGCAATGTTGTATATGCTGTTAAGTGCCAGGAGGAC